AAGACTCATATTTTGATGAAACAATCGAGTTCAGCCATTTTGGACAAGTGGTGAATTCTTGAGTGTCGTGGTACAAAAACTACCAGAACTTTTTAGTTGGAAGATGAAATAAACTCATTTTTTTTAGGTTGATGCACTAATCATCTGTGCACAATTTTGTACTCTTAGTAAAATCTTGTAGCATTCACAGTTTTTGAGTGAAAAAAATATGTCTGTTTACGAGTCTTACATAAGAACGAAGAAATACGAGTCTTACATAAGAACAAATTCACAGGGAGTTTCACTAAAATACATCGTACCACTCTCCCGGTATTTGAAAAAAGATAAATTTTTTGAAGAACTGACCATCAATAGCAGAAGAGCGAGACATTTTTTGTTAACAAAAGTTAGGTCAGATAGTTTTCTTTTGGTCCAAAGAATATATATATACCCTTTTGATCATGAGCTTACGGGACACCCTGTATAAACTAAATACTTCTTTAGTGAGGAATAGTATAAGTAAATGAGACAGACAGTATGTGTAATATCTAATGTTTGAACATTCATTGCTTGGATTGTTTGAACAGCCATTTGGTAAGTTGTTAATTATATTTCCTGCTTCATTCTCGAAGTTTCAGCTATAATTTTTACCTTTTAGTTGATCTTAAACCGTTTTATATTCTCGTTTTCGTTAATTGAAGTAGTGCTGATATTGATTTTGTCACATTCTCGGGCAAACTATGAATTGTGAACATGTCATTCCTCAAATAATCGGTTAGATTTGCAGTCTTCCTAGTTAAGGTTTGATTTGTTATTGCTCTATGTTGTTGCTTTGCCATTATAATTATGTCCTCTCTTCCTTTTGTTTTAGTTCACTGATTTTCTATTCTGGTTATCTGCCTGTTGCTGTTTCCACTTTTTGGAATTCAATACATGATTCGACTTAAAAAAACATTGAAAACTTCTCTTCATTTCTTATTAACCATTTATTCGCAGAAAACCAACAACTATCAGCGTGTCACCAACTGTACTCTTTACCCTATCTAAGGTCTCTTTACCCTCTTATGTATTCTCTCGTCAATGCTATTAAAGATTCACTCATAATGTACCTAAACACGTCAATTTTATTTGTAAGGGGGACACTTTAAATAAATATTTTTAACCTTGTTTCAACCCACTAGGAGGGGTGGATCTCACCCTTAGAATATTAAATGGGAATGGCGGTGACGTGGCATATCGTTTTAAAGGGCGTTCGATTCCCTTTTCAGTGGCATGACCCTCCCCTGCTTCTTCCTCGCTACGCCCATGAGTGGCACCGTTTCAAACTTTATTTGAAAATAATTATTTGTAAATAAGATTTAGATTGGTACTACGAGTACCTCGTAATTTTGCGTTCATTGGATGTCTTTTCGCTGAAGTTCCACGAAAGCCTTTAAATTCTATCAAGAAATTCTAAAAATACGTTGTTTTTTTAATCAAAAAACATGGTCAGAAAATTTAAAAGATGTAGCCAAAATAGGAATATTACTGTTAATTCTCATTTGCTTCTTGGGCTGTTCAGTGATAACTTTTATTAAGTGCATAAAGTGTGAGAATACGTCGAGGTTTACGCCCTTCAAGAAAGAACTGAAATTATTATCATTTATGGAGAGGTTAGCAAGTGCGCACGAAAGACGCCAATTGTTTTCAATGAAAGAAATCGAAATCATGAAGTAAGTCACAGATATGTGCTGGATTTGGTAAAAAAGTTTTCCAAAACTGGTTCCGTGAGTAATAGAAAAAGAAACAATCTACGAGTGATGAACTAAAGAGGTAAAAATGAGGTTTTGGGATTATTTGCTGCAGGGCCCAGCAACTCCTTGCAGATAGTAGTAGAACAGACAAGAATATCACACGAGACTCAGAAAAGCACTGAAAATGCATAAACTCCATCCATACAAAATGCAGATTCTTCAAGAACTCTACGACGATGATTTTGATATCTGCTTCAGCGATTAATGCACATTTTTTCTAAATGGAAATGTTAATAGACATAATTGTCAATATTGGAGTAACAAAAAGCCGCATATTTTTCGAGAAGGACATACACAATATGCTGAAAAAGTCCATGTTTGACTGAGACTATCGACTCGGCTTTGCTCAGAGCTTTTGTTATACTTTCTAGATCTGAAATATCGAAGGCATTGTGGAAGTTAGCAAAAGCCAGTACCAGCGGTCTTTTATATTCGCTTATACAACTAATTTGATCGTTTGTAGGTGGTTAATTGTTCCAAAGCACGAGTGCAATACGAAATACGTGAAAATACAAACAAAAAGTGTATACAAGTAATTAAATAAACTTGTAGGTCTATAGTTGCCTTGATGTTTTATCGTCCCTTTTGTGAAGCAGAATCTATATTGCGTGGTTCCATTTTATTAGTGTGCTTTGTCCGTGCCCCCATGGATTAAACAGTTCCAATATCTTTCTTTTTAGTTATTGTCGGCCGTTCTTTATTGCTTCTGTTATTATGCGATTCTCTCCAGGTGTCCTGTGGATCTTCATTTTGCCCATGCTTGATTGATGTCACCTAGGTATTTCTATACTTGGACTATCTTCAGATTTCTTATTAGATATTTCCTTTTTGATTGCTGTTCCCTGTTGCCTTTTGTCCTTTCTGATTTATACAGTTTTACGTAGAAACATTTCACTATGCATTACAATTTTTCTCTATCTCGATCCTATTGTTTTTTAATTTATTTATTCCTTGTTTTTCGGTGTTTATTTTCATTTAATTTCATACGCCTTTTATTTTCTATATGTTTGTCGTACAGATTTGGTGATGTTTCGCTCATTTTCTTTAGGTCCAGATTTTCTGTGTTTTCGTTTCTTTTCACTTCTCGACATTCTTTCAAAAGYTATTTTATTTGTAAACTTTCTTCCTTGTCTTCCTTTTCTGCTGTTCTCGGGACAATGCTKCTGTTGGCTTTTTTATGTYTTTTACCTTCTTGAGGGGCAATATTATAATAATTAAAAGCATTATRAAGCGTTGCTCAATAGTGCGTTAAAGAGCGATATCTCAGTAAATATGAATTTTAAAGGGAAATGTCTTCTACAAAAGTTTTTCGTGTTAAYGAAATGCRGATTCTAAAATAATTTTCCGATATACGAAGTGCGCTATAATCCTGTGGRTTTTTAAAACCAACTATGGTTTTTTAAAMTAGAAACTCYCCATTTTTTGCGCTKTTTGKTTTTATGRTAAAATTTTAATGTACATTTATTTCGAACACTTTATGTAAAAACYTTGCRGTTTTCGACTTTTTCGGAAAAGTRTARAAATYYTGGCAGCTACTAGGTTCGTAAATCGGTCTTCTATRGTTCTGAAAATACCTAATAAGCGACGTGCAGATATGTTTTAATTCATAGAGATCTCCGTTAACGGCTCAATTGGCCTCTAAACTTACATGTTTTATTACCTGAAAAAGTTGCTTGTTTCAAACTAAACTCTCTAATTTTTGTTCAGTTTTCAAATTTAACCKSTCATTYTAKGGATAGTTTCTGWTAGGTGTTCTAATAGTAAGATTTACTAMTTCTAAGCKAYKYGSARAWATKTTGAAATTTAWTTCATAKWKATTTYSGTAAAMGTGGCCGTSMATGTTAGCATGGCMTCWAAAMWYACACGTTTGTTTTTTCCTATTGGCGTCTGTTARWCCWGAAAAWRTAAATTTCCCACCGCTAAATTGATGTCACGTCAAGAACAASTGAAAACGTAATATTGCTTTGTACKAKTG